ACATTCATATTGGATGAACTAAAATGTTTATTTCTCTGGTGTCTTATTGTTGTGTGGTAGGTCTATTTTAATACTATTTAACACTGTAAGAAACTCAAGGTGCTTCTCAAAATATCTGTACCATTTTACATTTGTATGCTCCATTATTTTTTTCTTTTTTGGCTATACTGGTATCAAATCGAAGGCCTTGGGCCTGTTAGATAAGCGCTTTAGCACGGCATTTCCCCAGTTCTTGGATTTTTGAGACAGACTCTCCGTATGCGCCCCAGGCTGGCTTCACACTCACAATCTTCCTGCCTCTGCCTCCTGCAAGTTCAGATTACAGGCTTATTCCACCACACAGGCTGTGAGTTGACATTCTAATAGGTACATAATCTCATTGTGATTTCCCTAATGAAAAATGATGTTTAGCATCTTTTGAATTAATTTTTTAGTGTAAAAAATAATGGATCTCATTATTATGTTTTATATATACGAATAACTGTACTGTGTGCATACTCATCTTCCAATTAACTCCCTCTTTAAAATTTTATCCATTTTTCTGTGTGTATGAATATCTTCCCTGCATGTAAGTGCCCTTATGCGTGCAATGCCTGTGGAAGCCAGAAGAGGGCATTGGATGCTTGAAACTAAAGTTACAGATGGTAATTAGCTGACATGTGGGTGCTGGAAATTGAACCCAGGTCTTCTGCAAGAGCAGCCAGTACTCTTAGCTGCTGAGCCATCTCCCCAGCCCCAGCTATTCTCTCTTGTCCCACTTCTCTTTGTCATGCTTTCTTCTCTTCCCATTCTGTTCTGCTAGCCCTTTAGACCCATTTCTCTCCCCTCACAATCCTTTACCTTGATATTCTCAATTACTATGGATGTACCTTCTTTGATAAAATATTTTTAAACTTGCCAGTTTTTTACTTGAATTATTTCCTTATTGTTCCTTGTTGGAAGTGTGTGCATCTCCTAGTCTTGGAGGAAATACTTTATGTTCATGAAGTCTCTTTAAAAAGCAGAAGCCTTTGGGCTGGAGAGGTGGGTAAGAACACTGTTTTTCAGAGGACCTGGGTTCTGTTCGCAACACCTACATGGCAGCTCACAACCATCTGTAACTCCAGTTCCAGGGGATCTGACACCCTCTTCTGGCCCCTGAGGGTATTACATGACATGGGTACAGTTACATACATGCAAGGCAATACACTCATATACTTAAAAGAAATAAATTAAAATGAAATAAAAATAGAGTGGTTAAGAGCACTGACTGCCCTTGCAGAGGACCCAGGTTCAATTCCCAGCACCCACATGGCAGCTACAAACCGTCCTTAACTCCAGTTCCAGGGGAATCTGAAACCCTCTTCTGACCTCTGTGGCATTGCATGACACGGGTGCACATAAAATAAAAATAATAAATAAAATATTTTAAAAAATAAAAAATAAAACAATTTAAAAAATATAAAAATAAAAACTGCAGAAGATTTTGATTGGTTTTTGTTATTGTTTTGTTTTGTTTTTGTTTTTGAAACAGGGCCTTGTGTACCACAGTGTATTAGTCACTTTTCTGTTGCTGTGATAGAAACACTGACCCAAGCAATTTATAGGAGGAAGAGTTTATTTGAGCTTATAGTTCCAGGGAAATTACAGTCCGTCATGGCAGGGAGGCATGGTGGCTGGAAGTGGCTGGAGCAGGAGCAGCAGAAGCTAAGCTCTCACATCATCACACAGGCACAGGAAGCAAGAGAGCAACTGGAGATCTGGCAAGGCTTAAGAACTCTCTAAGCCCACCCCCCACACCTTCTAAAACCTCCCAAAACAGTGCCATCATCTGGGGACAAAATGTCCAAGTACTTGGAGCCTGTGGGGGACATTTTCATTCAAACCACCATACACAGCATGGCCTTAAACACATCTTTCTGTCTCCCTCTCCCAAGTCCTGGAATCACAGGCAGGCACCCAGTTTACATGGTGCTGGGGATTGAACCCAGGACTTTACACATGCTAGCAAGCACTCTACCAACTGAACAACATTCTCCTGCCCCAAAGCTTTTAATTTTGTCAAAGTCCAACTTAGTAACAGTTTTTTTTTTTCTGTAGATTGTGCTAACAGTGTCATATCAAATACATCTTGGAATAGTGCAATATTGCAAATATGTCTTCAAGTTTGCTGCTAGATTGTTTTCTACTTTGCATTTAGGTTTATGATTCATTTGAATTAATTCTGTATATGTGTGAGTTTGGGTCAAGGTTAAATTTTTTTACATGTGGATGCCCAATTGTTCCAGTGTCATTTCTTGAACTGTGTTTCTAGCATTATCAAGAATCCATTGGCTGAATGTGCAGGAGTATCTGAATCTCTATTCTTATTCGTTCCTTCCTTCTACCAAACCATAGTGCCCTAGTTATTACAGCTCTATAGAAAGTCTTGAGCTCCATCCTAAGAGCCTATAGAGCAGGGCCCCAAGGGCCTCAGCCATTCCAGGTTGTCCCTGTCTTGCTCGATTCTAGGGTAAAATGCACCCAGACAAAAACATCCTGTGATGAGGAAAGCTATGAATCAACTCAAAATGTGTCTCAACAGTGATATTCAGTGACCCAACTAGCACCTAAGAAATAAAACCCAAGGATGGAGTGCTTTGGGGTGCCTCAGCTATGTCGTGCCAGGAGCACATGGGACAAGGCTCACGCAGCTTTCCCAAGTATCAAGTGAGTGGCTTGGGAGATAAAGTTGCTTGCTTGACATGGAGCCAGGAATCTTTGCAGAGTCCTCCAGGATTGTTCTGTCTCAGACCTGTTATTCTGTTTCCCTTGACTTTCTATATTAATTGCAAAGTTGGGTTATCGGTTTATATAAAAAAGTACCCTACTGGACTTTGAAATGAATTTTATTGAGTCTGTAAGTCAACCAGGAGAGAACTGATATGATAGTAACATTGAACCTAGGAGACAACTGATATGATAATAATGTTGAATCCAGGAGAGAACTGATATGATAGTAACATTGAACCTAGGAGACAACTGATATGATAATAATGTTGAATCCAGGAGAGAACTGATATGATAGTAACATTGAACCTAGGAGACAACTGATATGATAATAATGTTGAATCCAGGAGAGAACTGATATGATAGTAACATTGAACCTAGGAGACAACTGATATGATAATAATGTTGAATCCAGGAGAGAACTGATATGATAGTAACATTGAACCTAGGAGACAACTGATATGATAATAATGTTGAATCCAGGAGAGAACTGATATGATAGTAACATTAAACCTCCCATCCATAAGCAGGCTCCATTTATTTGCATATTCCATGACTCCTTTCACCAGAGCTTATGTATTTTATTATTTTTCTTCCTAATATTTCATGGGTTTGCGACTATTCTAAATCATTCTGTGTTTTTAAGGGTTGGTAGAATTGCAAAGAAGCTTTATATTATTTTTTGAACACTATAATCTTGTTGACACTAAATACTTCTGGTTTTGGTTTTGTTTTTTAAATTCTTTCGGGCTTGCTGTGTAGACAACAATGTTGCCTGTGAAGAAACGACAGTCAACATTTCTCTTTTTCTCTTGTTTGTCTTTTATTTCATTTCTTTTTAAAAATGTTTAATTATTTTTATTTTATGTGTATGAGTGTGTCGCCTGCCTGTAAATAGGTACACCTGTGTTGTACAATGCCCAAGGAGGTCAGAAGAGGGTATCGGATCCCCTGGAACTGGAGTTACAGACAGTTGTTGGCTGCCATGTGGGTGCTGGAAATCGAACCCAGGTCCTCTGCAAGAGCAGCCAGTGCTCTTAATCACTGAGCCATCCCTCCAGCTCTATTTCATTTCTTAATAGGACTCCCAATAAGATATTGAGTAAGAGAAGCCAAATCAGTATTGTTGACTATTTCCCTATCTCAGCCCAGGCTGACTCTGGAAGCCCTTCAGAGCTCATTTCAAACCAAACAGCCAAACGTTAGGAAGACAAGATCTTTAGGCAGAGAATGAAACTTTAAAGACAGCACATGTTGAGGCTGGAGATAGCTCCACAGTTACGAGCACTTGCTGCTCTTGCAGAGGACCTGGATTCAATTTCCAACACCTGCAATGGCAGCTCACAACAGTCTGTAGCTCCAACTCCAGGGGATCTGACACTCTCTTCTACCCTCTGTGGACACCAAGCATATGTGATACATATACACACATATAGGCAAACAGTCATACACAAAGAAAGAAGGGAGAGAAGGAGGGAGAGGGGGGGAGGGAGAGAGGAAAAGAAAGAGATAAGAAAGAAAGAACGAAAGGGAGGGAGGGGGAAGCAGCACAGGTTCCTTAGGCTAATGAATTGGGTAGGACACAGCCAGCACTGTGTTATTGTCGCATGCGCTCTTTTTGACAGGGAACAAGAGTGTGGTAAATGAGACCTGACATGTGCCATCAAGGTGGCTCCTCCCCGCCCCCACCTTCCAGCCCCCCACCTCCACCAGCAAACTTAAGGAAAAATTGACGCAATCATAAAAACGTACCCAAAGCATGGTTATGTGACTTGTTACAGAACTTAATTATCATAAAGGGTGAAACTAGTCACATGATCCCCACTAAACACTTCCCCTAAAACCCCTCTCAGTCTTCCACATGGAGGTCTTCACTCCTGAGGTCACCATTGCTCCCAGTGCAAAAGTTCACCAGCCACCAGCGTGGATATTTTCGCTTTCTGGAGTACTTCCTCTTCTAAACAAACGTTCGACTTGCTGGCCTATGTCCATCTGTAAATTCTTGCATCTCTGAGAAGCAGAACCTATATCAAAGGCTTCTGACTGCCCCCACCCCCCACCCTGTAGCCCTCCCCTGCAGCATAAGCCGTGTTTTGTGTCTGTTTGAATGTTTTTGCAGGATGGGAAGATCTTTCTCCACTTGTTCTCTTCACCTCCCCCAACCTCAGCATTTGGAAAATCTCCATCGGCCTGAATGCAGGCCAGTTTCCTGCCTCTCCCTAGCCCAGTTTCCAGCTAGTCCCTAAGGAGCCTGCCGTCTCGTTTCTTCATTTTCTTAGCCGGAGGAGTATTTATACGTAATTGGAGGTTCTGGAGTTTGGATGCTGCCCCATACTTCTCAGCATAAAGTATTTGTTCTCAGGAAAGTCCCGGTGCCTTTCTGCTAAAGGCAGCTGCCCCTCCTCTCTCCAGGCAGGTCTATGCTACAGAGGGAAGCTTTCTGCAGTCTCCGGTGGAACCCCAGGCTTTCTCATGAATGAATGTGCAGTGGAGGTTTCGCAGAAGTGCCAGCGGTAGGTACAAAGTCTCGTTGTGTGCCAAGCCTCAGAAGTTCAAGCTCTCTCATTGGACCTACAACCTAGCCTTTAGCAACCATTTTAAAACTGAGCCAAATGAGATTCTTCATTTCTGCCTGAGGTGTTTTTTTGGGGGGGCGGGGGGGGGTTAGCAGGAGACATGTTATTAAGGAGGAAACTGGGAAGGGGGTTACATTAACTAAGGAAGGAATACGGAGGGTTATTCAGGGGAGTAAGAGGAGAGATAATAATGCTTATGTCTTAGTTATTTTTTTGTTGTTGTTGCTGTGATAGAAACAGCATGACCAAGGAACTTATATAAGGAGCAAGAGGCCATCATGGCAGGAAAGAATGGAAGCAGAGGTGGCTGGAGTAGGAGCAGAAGGTAAGCTCCCACATCTTCAATGAGCAGGCACAGGAAGCAGAGAGCAACTGGAGATCTGGCAAGGCTTAAGAACTCTCTAAGCCCTCCCCCAGTGACATGCTTCCTCCAGCAAGGCCACACCTTCTAAGACCTCCCAAAACAGCACCACCAACTACTTGGGGCCTGTGGGGGACATTCTCATTCAAATCATCACAGCTTAGATGGTATGAAAAGCCAGAGGGAAATGAACTAGTTCAAAGTCCTACTGAAAAACACACATACAATAAATATAGGAGTGCATACTTATAGCTGAAGGATGTATAACAGAAACACAGTGCCAGGCAAGAGAAGCTTTCCTTCAAGTTGTTTGTCAGGGTAATCAAAGAGACTCCAAAAATAACACAAGCTATTGCCATAGTCCTTGATTGTCACCCAGAACTTGAAGGTAGTATGCAACTGCTGAAATCAGGCCACACTTCATACACAGAACTTAGAGCAGTAGAGCTGGAACTGACCAGAAAGGCTCTTCCCTGAAGACTAGCTTTCATAGTATCAGAGGATACCATGTAAGCTGCTAAGGGAGAAAATCAATCAGTGGTTCAATCAATCCAGTTGTGAAGCCTAATAAACAATGACTGGCCCAGCAAACTACTGCTATTGGTGCAGTAGTGGCACTTTTTTCTTGGGGACAATCAATAGCTATCTAATTGGAATTAAGGCCCACTCAATGGAAGGGAACTCATGTGTGGTACTGTAAACACAGCCAAATACACACGGCTGGAGAGGTCAAAGATCCTAGAGAAAAACTGACTTTTGCCACATCCCTAGACAAACTTAATTTCTTTATTCTAAATATGCATTGTCATATTTACAGAGAAGTATACCTTTCACTTCTCACCAAAGAAGCTTCTTTTTGCAACAAGTGAAGACTATTACAGAATTCCCAAACTGGTCAAATGCAGAGAATAAGTATCTGTGAGATGCTTAACCATAAGTGATACATCTTCAATGCAACCTCTATTCTTAGGATGAATGTATCTCTTAAGTCTCACCAGAGAAGATTCCTTATGCAGCAGATGGTGATTAACACAGAAAGCTTCGATTAGTCAATGTGCAGAGAACAAGAGGCCATAGTGTGCTTATCCCTGACTAGGACATCTCTCTCAAACCTCTGCCTCCCCAGGCTCAGGGATCATTGTGGAAAAGGAGGCAGAAAGATTTAAGAGCCAGAGGTAAGGGATGACCACAAAGAAACAGAGTCTTCCGGACAGCTGGTCACTTACTCGTATGAATGAATGCACAGCAATGGTGACAGCATGCACAAGTCCTATGCAAGCTCAAATAAGACAAAATCTCAGCATAGACATGGGGAAGTGGTGTAAGGAATCCCTAAACAAACTAAGGAACTTTTGGCAACTGATGGCTACTGGGAAGGGGAGAAGATGGTGTCTTACAGGATTGGGGTTCTTGGTGTATTCAGCAAATGGCTCCACACTGAAGGACATTTGGGAACACAAATCATACCATATATATGAGTTCCTTAAATTGGAGGGGAGGTGGGGAGAGCAGAGTGAATCTAAATGGCCTCAAACCATATTCTATGAAAATCGCAAAATAAAATTCAATTAAAAAATTTTTAAAAATATATCAAAATGAGAGGGGCATATGACATCAAGGATGCCAAGTGACAGCCATCTGATCCTTAGTTGCTTGTTGGGGCACTGATGAGGATTCCGAAGCCATTTATGAGTCTTATCTACATCACTTGTCGTTAAATCTAAGTGCTGGAGAAGGAAAGCAGAGTCAGCTAATTCTCACCCACTCCTGTGGCAGTCGCATCTTTGTCCCTTTTTCTTCAGAAATGAGTCAGAATTTCTATTTTATTTCTTCTTCCTCTGAGTTTCAGGTCACGTGGCTGGCCTGTGGCTTTGGCTTCTGAGAAGTCAGACAAAATTATAATTTTGTGGATTATCTAGATGTTTCTTATTACCCTGGGGATGCAATGCTCTGGGCAGCTTTCCTTAGCCACAGCTGTCACGGGAAGCCCTTCAAAACTCATTTCACACCAAACAAAGCATGTTAGGAAGACAAGATTCTTAGGCAGAAAATAAAAATTTAAAGAAAGAACATCAACATTGGGGCTGGAAAGATGGCTCAGAGTTAAGAGCATTTGCTGCTTTTGCAGAGGACCTGGGTTCAGCTTCTAGCACCCACATGGCAACTAACAATAGTTTGTAACTCCAGCTCCAGGGGATCCGATGCCCTCTTCTGGCCTCTGCAGATACTAGGTGCGCTTGGTATATATACAAACATACAGGCAAACATTCATACATGAAAGAGGAATGGAGAGGAAGGGAGGGGAGGGGAGGGGGGAACTGTAATCCCAACACTTGGGAGGGACAGGCAAGAGGACAGAAAGTTAGGCTGCAGAGAGGAAACCCTTACTGCAAAATAATAAAGCAGAGGGGAGGGGAGGGGAGGGGAGGGGAGGGGAGGGAAACACATGTTCCTTAAGCTAACAGCTAGTAATGAGTGATTGTGGTATGTTCTCCTTTTAATGGAGAACAAGATAGTGTTAAATGAGACAAACTATTCAGGCTGTAAATCTGGGGCTGGAGGTTGACTTGTAAAATGGGAACATTATATTTATCTAAGTTAGTGGAACAATATATTAGGATGGACACTAGACAAAGAGTCTTAAATGCTTTATCTGTTTATTTGGTACATGGAACCCTTCCCTGATCTGTAGACTTCCCCAAAAATGTGTGTGTGTGTGTGTGTGTGAGACAGCCTCTCTCTGTAGCCCCAGCTGGCCTGGAACTCACTATGTAGACCAGGCTGGCCTGTCTCTGCCTCTGCCTCTGCCTGTGCCTCTGCCTCCTGACTGCTAGAATTAAAAGCATGTGCCATCATGCCTGACTCCAAAAGAGTATTCCAAAATGCATGAATTAAAATATGTAGAATTACAATAAAAATATGTTGAACTAGATTTTTCTAAAATATTTTAATATTGGGCATAGAAATAGATACCTTTGCTATTTAAAGTGCTAAATAGCAATGTCTAGTGGTGAGCCTAATTACTGTGGTTTCAGCAGTGGGGATAGTAAATGGCTTTAGGTTGGGGGGGGAGTGAAACAAATTCTCTGATGCCCTTGCTGGTTTTAAAAATATGGGAATCTTGCCTCATCCTCCTGACTGAGGCATGTGCCACCAAAGCCAGCTGGATTAGCATTTTGTTCATTTGTTTTGTTTGTTTTTTTTTTCTTTTGAGATAGGGTCTCCCTGTAACCCCATTGGCCTCACTATATATCCAGGCTGGCTTCAGTCTCACAGAGATCTGCCTGCCTCTGCCTCCAAGTACTGGGATTAAAGGTGTGCCACCAGCTGTATTAACATTTTGTAATGCCTAGAATAGTTGCAGCATGATAAGAAATATTGTGATTTTTTTGTGTGTATGCATATTTGTGTATGTATCTTGGTGTACAGATATGTGTGGTACACGTGTGTGAAGGCCACAGGACGACTTTGGGTGTCATTCCACTGGAGCCTTATTTGAGACGGGTTCTCTCCCTGGCCTGGAGCTTGTCAAGTAGGCTAGGCTGACTGGGTCCTCAGTCCCCAGGGATCCACCTGTCTCTGCCTGCCCAACACTGGAATTCCAAATATGTGTCACTACTTGGGGCTTTTTTTTTTTTAGCATGGGTTCAGGGATCCAACTCAGGGCATCACACTTGGAAGACATGCACTCTACCAACTAAGCAATAGCCCCAGCTCAATTTTGTGATTTTTTTTTATTCAAATTTTGGATATTGCTAATTCTACTCAACTTTATGGCCTACATTCAAATTAGAGAAAATGTCAAATGTTACTGAAAATAAGAATAAAATCTTTCTCTCATGCAAGTTCACAGACTTCTTAATTTTATCTAGAAATCTCCCAAGGATTAAAAATGTCTGTTAGGATAGAGAACTGTCACCTGCAACCAGACATAGCTTGGAAAGTCAAAATTGGCATCTGGGAAATGACAGGCAGGCCCAGCACTTAGAGTCATGAAACTGACTGTACATTCAGAGAATGGAAAGTAATTTGATGTTTGGGAACATTGTTATTACTAGTGTCATTTATTAAGGGTGTTTTAGATACTAATCATTGTACTAAATATATTTTAAATATTTTTCATGTAATTAAATTCTACATTGTATATGTGTATGTGGGCATGAGTGTGTGTGTGAGTGTGTGTGTGTGTGTGTGGTATGCCCATGAGGAGGTCGGAAGAGGATGTCAGGTGTCCTGTTCTAGCACTGGACACCTTACTCCCTTGAGACAGGGCCTCTCACTTAACCTGGGCTAAGCAGCAAGTCCCAGTAATCTTGTCTCTACCCTCCTCAGAGCTGGGGTTACAGGGACAGCTATGCCTAGCTTTTTAATATGGATGCTGAGAATTTGAACCCAAATCCTCATGTTTGTACAACGAATGTTCTTGCCTATTGAACCATCTCTTCAGCCTCCAGTTCTCATATCTTTTTAAGGTAATAATATGCTTGACTTGAGAGATTTATAAGGTCACTGAGATATAAGAATTTTAAACAACTTTCCCAACAGTAGTCCAGCCTCCTCCATGGGGGATACACTCCAAGAATCTCAGGGGATGCTTGAAATCAGGGCTAGTACTGACTCCCACATATCCAGACAGTCCCTAATTTATGATAATTTACCCTAGATGATGAATCTATTTTTAGATTTCATTATAGTATGAATATACACTCAGTGGGAACCATACTTTGAATTTCTTGGGCCACATGCAGTCCAATACCCTCCTGTGGTGCTGAAATGTTCAGAACTGGGAGCTGACTCAGCAGATAAAGGCATTTCCCTGGTATGCCCAATGACCTGTTTGATCCCAGAAATCCATGGTGGAAGGAAAGAACTGACTCCTAAAAGTTTCCCTCTGACTTCCACAAAAGTGCCCTGGTATACACGCATCTACTCCATGTCATATATACACACAGTAATAATAATAA